AAAAAACTGTTTAAAAAATTAACATTGAGTGTCCAAGTCTGAAACGGATGGTCTGTGGGCCAGAGCCTCGCTCATGCGTGTTAGAGTCCGTTTCAGACTAGTATTCTGACGTCATGTTACAATATGACTGTCTTTGGCGGGATTTTTCGCGCAACTGTCATGGCGTTGATGTACAATAGTTGTTTGAAACGAACTCTACCATTTTTGTACTAGGTGGCAAAGGGCCGCACAAGAACCTCGCGGAGGCCGCAGGTTCCCCACCTAGGGTATATACAGTAGTAGAAACTCAATTAGCAGAACTTCAAGGACCAGTGGTCTATTTGAATAAATGAAATTTTGAATAAGCCAGAAGAATTTCTGGATGGTTCCTATACAATTATGAGTCCTTTGGCAAGATGAAATTGATGATATTTAAAATACTGTTAAATTGCATTTTATAATTAATCATAATTAAATAGCAATTTTGGATTTTGAAATACATTACAAAATTGTTAATTTTAGTATGTGTAATAAAGGAAGTCCTCTTTAGTTTGAAATTTGAGAGAGAAAATAATCACAACTTTGAATTATTAAGTTCTGAATTAGCTGAGATTTACATATTTCCATACAATAAGCCAAGTGCCATGTAACTGATTTAATTTATTAAGCAAATGGAATACAGCTACATATACAGAATGCTATTTTTGTTAATTAATAATTAATGATGATAATATGAATAAACTGCAGGTAAGCAGCATATGTCCAGTGAGAACCTCACAGGTTGCCAGGTAGGTTTTATAAAAAGTAAAACAGAATTCCTCAAAATGTAGCATAAATTATTTTTAAAATGATCTAAATAGTAGTAAGTTGCTCAAATCTAAAAGCCTAGAGCCCTACAATGGGTAAGGTAACACTCAATCATGTGTTACTGTAAAAGCTAAGCCATGTTGACCAGATTACAGTTGTTGTTCTCTTGTTCTCTTATATTATGAAGAAACATTGGTCTAAACAAACGAGTTAACATATGCATATCACAGTTCAGTCAGAATTTTCACTTCAAATTTCAAAGTAACTATATTTTGAACTAGCCAAATTCCTTAACATATAATCTCTATATTCTTGGCATGGACAAATAGTATAGTTACAAATTAAAAGGATTGTGAACTATCCAAGTTCAAATTAACAAAGATTTCCTGTATTACTGTGTTCATCATCAAACGAACATTTCATCCTTTCTAATTTCTCTGTATTTTGTTCCATTGTCTCAAAGTTATTCTGTATAACATGTTATTGAAAGGTTGTTTACTTTGTCTTTGGGTGAAAAATAATTTTCCAGTGATGGGAGCTCAAGGTGATTCACTGGGACTGAGGGAGTTCTGTGAGCGAGCTGAGAACAAAGGTGTTGGTTTGATGGAAGTTAGAGAGTTGGGTTACTACCAGATAGGGCATTCTAAAAAAAATTGAAATCTGTAGAATTCTATCAGAAGGTTTCTAGGATTTTTCATCAACTCAGTGAACAAGAGGTTAATTTATTTCTTACAGCATTGTTTGTTAAAGTTGAAGCCAAACCCTAGGACAAGGGTGGCCAAAACGTGGCGCATGCGCCAAACTTGGCGCATTGGACGATTACAAGTGGCGCTTCAGTCAGTTTCTGAGCAACATTGCCAGATTTGGCTTCTTTGCAATTATGAATATTACATAGAAAATTAATTTTTTATAGTCTGTCTTGGCAAGTTCATTTGTTGCACAATTCGTTGCAATCAACTTTACAGATAAAATGAGTGTTCTCCACATAGTAAATTACAGTGTGTGCATGTATGTTTATTTTCGATCAGTTTACAGGTGTCTAAATGACAGTGCTAACGTCCCACGATAGTGCTACCATCCGGACGGTCCGAAAATCGGATTGGACTACTAACTTCTTTTCCCGAGTAGTTCCTGCGACACTTGTTGACCTTTTTTTTTCTTTTCCCTGTATGATACACGATACATTCGTGTTCATGTACACCACTAATATCGTATAGAACTATTTTATACAGGTAACTACACTACAACCGCATTTTTCATTGCTTGTTCTGTGGCAAAACTGAATTTTCGTCTTATAAATTGAAATACCTATTTAAGGGGTGGCCGAAATTTTTCTCCGCCCCGGGAGGCTAACACCCACGGTACGCCACTGCGCATCTGAACTCGTCTATCAAAAAATTGGCGCATGGTATGCAAAAGGTTGGCCACCCCTGCCCTAGGACAAGGACTGTGTACCTAATTCAACCTGCTACTGTTATGAAGACTTATAGGGAGACCCTATAGACCCTATCCCAAATTTTTATTATTATAAATCAAATGAATGAATGGAAATTGATGAGATTTTCAGGAAACGTACATCCACTTATGTTGAACACATTGAGTACTGGAACTGGCTACTAGGTAGCAGAAGAGGCATGACTCAGCCCCTTTCTGAACACTGCTGTATATATGCAGATTTTCACAGAATTTGTTGAACAACTTGATGTGAAGCTGACACAATGTTACTTCCAGAAAGGTAGAGCAACTTGCCACACATCACAGGAGTCAATGGTAACAATCCAAAGCTTATTTGAGGACCTTCTCATCTCCAAGAATCACCACAATTGCTTAACTCCTTAAGCCTCAAGCAATTTTTGATATTAATGTAATTAAACATAAAAAAATACTTAAAACTGAAAAAAAAAAACGTTAATTTTGAAGAAAAAGCTTCAAATTTTATTTTCCTTTGTCTCTTATCAGCCCAAACTTCTTTTTGTTTTGTGGAACTATCTTAAGAAAAGAATGTATCATAACAAACCCACATAAATGACATTTTAGACGATAACTTTAGAAATGAGATTGAAAACATTTATAATGTAACATTGAGATGTGATAAGAACATGCACTGATGCATCATATGCCTGACAGGTGGCAGCAATCACTTCCAATACTTGTTTTGATGTGATATGTTCAACATAAGTGGATATATGCTTCCTGAAAATCTCATTCATTTCTATTCATTCATTTTAATATTTATAATAAAAAGTTTGGGTATGGGTCTATATGAATCACCCTGTATTTTCTAATGTAAATAGTACTTAGAATTGCAAGCTACTAATTTTGTGTATTTTTAATTCTAATGATCCTCCTCATTTTTTACTGTATATTTTGTGACTGTTGGGTCAACTTACCATCAGTTTTAGCTAATATGATCAACATTTGAATCAATCAACATGCTTGATTGTTAGGTTGATTTTTTTTCTTAATGTGTTTGATATGGAAATACTGTTATTTGTATTTTGGAATTACAGTTCACTCTTTTCTATAATATAGTTTGTTTTATATTATTTAATTTAACAAGATGTACATAAATTCTTATAAAGCTTTAATGAATAATTTGAATATTTCAATTATTATAATGTTTTTATAAATGGTCAAAAATTTGTCTAGTTTTTATTTTAATTTAATAAATGAAAATAAGCATTTAACTACATTTAATTTCTAAAACAAATTTTTATTTATACTTTTAATTGAAGATTATCATCCTAGTAAGATGATGATATATTATTTGACCTGTTTAGTTTTCTTATCATTCTTTCCATACTTTACTTTCATATAGTACATTCCTACTTGCCAAATAGCATTCTCGAAGTTTTTTTATTTATAATATTTCCAATAGTATGTCATTGTAATGAATCAGTTTTTGTACTTGAATAAGAATAGTATCTTGTCTTCTAAAGGAAAAATAAAATATATAAATGATATTGATAATTTTATGTTAGTTTATCTAATTTACAATATAATAATCATCTATTCATTATTTTATTATTTTAAAGACTGTGTTGAAATAAATGAAATTCAAAATCTCAATCTGATTAATGAAAAATCACAGTTAAAATCAATTTAATATGGATCTAATTCTTATTAAAAACAAAAATTATTAGAATTCAGATACATTAACATACTATTTTCTTTTAAATTAGTTTGGAAATCTAAGGTAACTGTTTCCAGAATTCATTGATATATGCAAAAACATATTGAGCTATTTATAATTAATATATTTCTGTTCCTAGATTACTATAAATATAATTATAAGTATTACAAGTATATTAAACACTTATTACATAGATAATCTATACTAGCAATAGAAATCATTGAACTTCTGAAATATTTCAGTGCTATAAACAGGACTTAACAAGATAAGGTTAGTAGATAACTATTTATAGTTAAAAAAAAACAATTGCCATTTTCTTCTTTGCTTCTGATTTCATTCTTCAGTAAACCTAGTAAATTAATTATCACTTTAATATACCATAATTTTGATTAAAAAATGTCTATTAAAAAAGTATATCATGCTGTTAAAAAATATATATACTATTGCAAAACTATTTACAAATTATTGAATAAGTAATAAAATAATTGAAATCATTATTCAATTTAAATAGATTAAAGCTGAATAATTTTTCCTTACCTTTCAATTAATCCATAATTTATGTTAATCATTCAGAAAACATTTCTATCTTCTGTTATCAGAAACTTATTCACAATATTCATCAATACTGTTATTTTCCTTTCCATAAAATGTTTATATAAAATCATCTTTAAACCTTATTTTACTACTTTTATAATGCAACAAATGTAAAACACTATTGGTTAATCAGTTTGTAATTAATAAGAAAAATAATGATTCTCATAAATTACTATATGATAATGTTTTTATAAATCAGTGATTGGGAACTGGAATAAACTACAGTTTTTCAATCCAGAGCTACATGTAATTCTCAATGAAAGTCTCAGCTATGTTTCATATAATTAAAAACAATGCTCATAATTTTTGATGATTATAACAATAATCATTCTGTTTTTGATCACTGTTTTATTTTCATTTCTTTAATACAATACTATGCACTGAAATATTTCTGTTCTGCTGTTACACAATTTCAACTAACTACATTTTTACTTGGTTAAACAAACAAAGCATATGTAATTGCTTCCTATTTCCTATTATCAGTTCCTAAAATTTTATTTTTTTTTAATTTTAGTTCAGGTTTAATGCTCTAAATCTTAAGAGTACAGGTTAAAAATTTAATTTTATTTCTAGAATTAATTCTAAAAACTGACAACAGAATAACACTTCTATATTGTTTTTATCATTAGATGCAAATAGTTCTTATCTAAAGATATCTAAAATATGAAATTGCATATTATTAATAAATCTTAAATATTCAATTACAATCAAATTCATTAAAACTGTAATCCACTAAATACAGATTAATTATGAATAAATTAACTATTTATGAAATATAATTAAAAAATACTAACTCATTTTGAACATATAGATAGTTTCTTCTGTAGTAAATTATGATAAAAAGTCTATTCTTCATTCTGTTATTACCTGTAGAAACTTTAAAATTTCAATATATACATTGTTTTATTTACTTAAATATTAAGACAAACAACAAAACAGTTTATTTTAAAAGTTAATAAAATATTGCAGCATTCTCCCCAAGAAAAATTTGTAATTAGTCAACCTACAATACTAACTGCATGATATTGCACAGCTGCATGCTATTCCTTAGAACCTCAGTTAATGACCATAAAACAATATTCTTACTATAATACTCATTAGCATAGTAGTTGGTAATCTAGTTATTTTTTTAAATAATAATAATAAATTAATTAAATATTTTTAACTGGTCAGCAAGTTAAAACTAGATTGAGAATAGCATTTTATTGTAATTTTTAAATATCATATTCAAAATTTTAAAATCTATCCAGCTTTTAATAACCTTAAAAATATCAAAAACTTTAAATATTTAATCTCTAACAAGTGTGATGAGGAAACAGCATGATATTGGGGTCACTGATTTTGATCAAACCCAGAAAGGTTATTGTGCATTCCCAATGACTGACATGTGCAAGCAGTAAGGCAAGGTACCGAAAATTAAATGCAAAAATTGAAAATGAAAATTGCAAATCACATAAAACTTTTAGAATTTCCATCATTTGTAAAGTGGCTGGTGACTCAGTGGGGGTGTGCTGGTTTCATAGCCATGAGGTTGGTGTTTCGAATCCGAGTACTTTCAATCTGACATTTTTAATCCTAAAACTATAATTTTCACTTTGTTGTTGGTACTTTTCAATTTATTATACTGTCAGAAAGAAAAACTGATTTAGTTTTAGAAAACTACAAATGCACATTAAACAGGGTAACAGAATAAAGTCCATCTGTTTCAAGTAACAAGTCAATGTCAAAAGCAATTAACAAATGCTACATAACAATACTTATTTAAAAACAAAACATTTTCTGTACATTCATGTATAGTTTCTACTTATTCTGGCAAAAAAGTCATTGTTTAACCTAAATGTGCCTATAATTGCATCTTTATTCACTAAAGAATGAAACAATGGCTTCACTATCTTGTGCTAACATCAAATAGAATAGAAATGTTCTACTGAAGAATCACTGCATGACAATATTACAAAATTTACATATTGTGAAAGAATCCTTCAAAATCAAGACCCAACTGCAGCTGAGGGTGCATCATCAATTTCAGAAGTTGTGAAGGAGGTAGAAAAAAAAAACATTAAGCTCGCTGATATTTTCGAATGTGATATGGTACAAATGATTCTCCTCCAAATTAGTTGCTGATGGAGAAGTATTTTTAAACATTAATCAAGTTTGTTTTTCCAGTGACATATGTTAATCTTCTTATTGTAAAAATCTGTATTTATTCAATGTGCACAGTGCAGAAATGTTTATTGTTTCACATGCTTCAATCACTTATCCACAAAATTGTGCTCCTGGAAGGCAAAAGATTGAATAATTGCTAATAATTGTAAAAGATTGCTAATAAAAATCTCTTTTTTTATTAACAAAATTTTATGAATTATTTTCTTGAATAATGATAATTTTGTTTATATCTAATCTTCTTCCTAAATAAATTAAAAATAAATGTTATTACAAACCCCATATGTACTGTACAGTATATGAATATTCAAAAATAATTTTTAAATAAATATAATAAATTTAAAAGTACCAACAATAAAATGAAAATTATAGTTTTAGGATTAAAAAAAATCACATTGATAGCACTGACATTCAAAACACCAACCTCATGATTATGAAACAGTCCCCACCAAGTCATTAGCCACTCTACAAATACCAGGAATTCTAAAGGTTTTAAATGACTTGCAATTTTCAACCTCAATTTTCTCATTTCATTTTGAGTACAGTAGAGCATCGATTATCCGACCCCCAATTAACCGTCACATCGGTTAACCGACCGTTCTAGTCAGCAAATTTCAAATGTCTGCTAGTGATGTAGCACTACAATATTTGGGTATGTCTTGGCTACTTTAATATTATTTTTGTTAAATTTTTGTGTTTTAGCTGGCAACACTAGCTCAACCATGAAAGGGAGCCCAGTATTTAAACGAGACTTAATTTTCTAATTATGAGTGGTTGTTTGTTTTGTGAGCAATAAAATAATTTAAAAATAATTTTTAACAATACAATAGCAACGATTATTATTTTTTAAAAAATTTTGTTATGCTTAACATCAATGAAAATTCAATGCGAAGTAGGTTAATAGCGATATACTAATATACTAATTACATGGGATATACTAATATACTATACTAATAATGTATTTTTTTCATTCTTTTCGGTTATCCGATTTTTTCAGTTATCCGACCAACCCGAGTCCCCAATTGAGTCGGATAATCAATGCTCTACTGCAGGGGTGGCCAACCTTTTTGTTTCTCTGGGCCANTTTATTATAACAGAGACTAAAGAAAATTCATTTGAAAAACACAAATATTTGTTTTATTTGGGTCTCTAATTAATAAAAAGCGACGAAACACCATTTTAAAGTGCATTTTTATTCAATTAATGTAATTATAAATAATATTAGCCGAAAAAGTAGCCAAAGCGCCAAATGATATTTTTTACGTCAAGCAAAAAAAGTAGCCACATTTGGCCCAATGTAGCCAAATCTTGCAACGTTGGAAGAAATACTAAATAAAGCTGGAGTTGTGAATCAAAGGATTATAGACTCAGGTGCGGGGAAAAAGAGGCAAAAGACAAAAGATAAAGAAGTGGAAAAGGTTAAAAACTTACGGGTCCATATTTATTTAACAGAAGATCTATTTAACGTTTCTCACTACTACATCTTTTGTCCTTTCTCATCTTTCCCTCCTTTTCCCAAATTTGGGTTTATAATCCTTCGAGTCACAACTCCAGCTTTATTTAGTAATCCTTCCGCACTCACACATCTCCAAATATTTGAAAATATTTTCTTTCCACTCAAAAATAAAATATGAATAAAGGTTTATGGATTTGTGAAACTTTTTTTTTGAGTTTATGCCGTTGAAATAAATAAATAATAAAAAATTAAAACATTTGTCGGTTTTGTTTACACGTTTATTGGGCCGCATGCAGCCCGCAGGCTGGACACCCCTGCTCTACTGTATTATGATTTACTGCTTGACACATGTCAGTCATTGGGAATGCACAATAAACTCACTGAGTTTGATCAAAATCAGTGACTTCAACATCATACCATCCCCTCATGAGTTTAAAAATGTTAAAACTTAAATATTTAGAATTTGTAAAATTTTTGTATCAATTATTTAAAGATATAAGAGTTTTCAATGCAGATTTACCTTCTTTCTTCAGCCTATATCATTTGCCATAAAAAATTTTAACTTGTGTACCATGTTTTCATTCTGTGGAAGTTAATAAGTATATATTAAATTATGTTAAAATGTTCAATGGAGAATTTTAAATACAAGATTTTTTTTAAATATGGATTTAAAAACATTATTAAATTAAAAACTTGCTTAAATAAATTTAACTAACAATATAATGAATTATTTCCTTATAAATAATTCATATTAATGAATTTTTTTAAAATTGATGAGCTCAATAACAATTACAAAATTAAATTGAAAATCTATTTTAATAATTTCATGGTAATTTACAATAAAACTTGCTAAAAAATTACATCTTAGTTATTGATTCTAGTTAGAAAAGTGCCAAAATAATAATTACATTGACATTTAAGTTCTATACAGAACTAATAACCTAAACTGTTTAATGTAAATAACAAAATTCTCATGTCAAAAATTATATAAACAAGAATTATTATTCTCTAAAGACTTTTAAAACTCATTTTTAATTTTTATTAATATGTAAATAAAAATTCACAATACTTAAAAGAAATATATACAGTACATATCCTATACATTCTGATAGAGTAATATTATTTTATGCTTTTAAAAGTTAAAAATATACTTTTAAACAGATTATTACAGCAATTAATTATTATAAATTCATTCTCAAATTTAATCAGTCTATAAAATATTCTTAGAATTTGATCCTGTTACTTGATATCCTAAGAACCAAAATGATATCATTTTTCTCTGAATTATTTTTAGACTAAAGTTTACTTAATTTTGTATACAATTTAGACTAAAGTTAAGAGTGTTATCTTGAAAAAATTTTAATTCATTAAGTGTAAGTGTAAATTATTAAATAAACTATAAATATCTTGAAGAAAAGTTTGACCAAAAGCAAGATTTGAACCTATAACATCTAACATTTGATAGATACATTAATAGTTGTCATACAAGTTCAAAGTCAAGCTTTGCTTCTAGATAGACAAGCTTTAAAAGCACAGTGTAACCATAGAAGTCATATTCTTGTTAGGTTAATAAGAAATACCTCTGTCCATGGGTCCTCTACAGCTTTCAGCTGGTCTTAACTTCTTTCTGTTAGACACTTCAAACTAAATTAAATAATTCTAATTAATAAAATATTTATGAGATGATAACTTTATCTATTATTAGATTAAAATGTGTAATAAATTAATTAAATTCTAGCCTAAAAAATAATTCAAAATACAGTACGATCCTGCTTAATGCTGCCTCACTCAACACTGATTCAATATAGTATCGTCTGCTCGAAGCCTAAAAGAAAAAGCTCAAAATTTATGCTGATTTAAATTATCGCAACATTTTATTGATTTGTACATAATACAATTATTTACAAACACGAATCAATCAGCAAAAGATGTACTTTCTTTAAATCTATGTTTGTTTGGTGCAATTTTGGAAAAAATATATCATCATGGATGACATAGGCAATATCGGCTTTGTTTGGCAAGAATTAACTGATAAATGCACAAACAAAATGTGGAAGAAGTTATGGCTGAAGGTATCCAAGAATTCTCAATGAGAAGAGCCTATTGCTGTAGGTTGATCAAACTCAACCTAGTTGATAGAGCAAGACTAGGAGATGTAGACAAACAGGATATTGAGGAGTTACTACAGGTTTCTGGTAAGAGTCTTACCAATGACAACCTTCAAGAACTGGCAGAACATGGAATTCATGTGGAACTGGAAAATACAGATTCTAAAAACAAAGAACCCAAAAAATTTCTCTACAGATTTCCTTAGTAAAAGTTTGGTAACAATAACCAAAATCATTGATCAAATTGTAGCGAATGATCTAGATTTTGAAAGGAGTGCAAAAGCAAAACGAGGCATTTTGGATACAATCTTCTGCTGCCAACATTTGCTTAAAGAAAAAAGTGACAAATGAAACTTCACAACTTTATTGCAAAAAACAAGAATAACAGAAAAGTCACAAAATGAACTATTAATATAGAAAAAATGAACTAATTAATATATTATTATGCATTTCTGTGTGCATATGTTTATATGTTATTTAACATATATTATTATACAAATTAATATCAAAATAACTTAAAATTAAGGTAAATTTTTTTTTATTTTCAGTCGCGTGTTTCCCTATCCCTATTTACTCTATGTTAAAATGATCTCATTTAACGCTGTTTTGTTTAGCGCTTTGTCATCTAGAAACGCATCCCCCACATTAAGCGGGATCTTACTGTATATCAAGAATTATTTCATTCTTAAACTTTGCAATAATTTCTGGACAAATTTTATTTCTATACATATGTAATCTTATCACTCCATATTATTCAATACTTTATAAACAAAACATTGTTCTTATAGGAGAATCTATATATATATATAAGTGGACATGTGTGTCCCTATATTTCACTTTTCCGCCAAAACTACACATCGCACATGAATGGTGTTTGTATGTGGTAGTAGCCCCAAGTCTCCATTTGTGCACTATGGTGGTTGCGTGTCAATAGCTATAAGGGTGCGGGAGATATGGGCTTGAAAGTGGTTGAAAGTGGAAGATTTTCTATTTCAATTTAAAAAATTTTTGAATTCGAATTTGTATTCAAATCCGAATTGGTTCGATTATAGAACGATTGTAAACGTTCCAGATAATTGATCAAATTGAAAATAGTTTGTTTGACTGGACGTAAAAATTCTCTAATTAGTCTGGAAACGGGGGACCTAATTCTTGCATTCTGTGAAAACGGGTAAGATTGGCTATAATGTAATTATCTTAATCTTCACTGTCGTTACTTTTT